TATCCATGTTTGTGGAAACACAAAGGCACCTCCATATTTCTGTGACAGACTAACATGTAGAGGACAAAGAAGGAGTCTCCCACTAAGACAGTGACTAGGAGATTTGAGAGAGGGAATGTTCTTGGGGAGGAGTGTGATGCCAGATACATCTGAAGGAAGAGACACAGAAAGACAAACTTGTGCAAGAGGAGAATTTTGCTGTTTGAGTCCCATGGACTAAGTTTGGCATCTTCACCAGCCATAAAACCAGGCCTCCTTGATGAAATAAAACTTCTTAGGGACTAGAAGACCTTGTGAAGGTTTGGTTGTAATCCAGGAAGCTCCAGATTGGATTAGCCATACACATTAATGGGGGGATACTGTGGGAAAGTATCTGCAAGATCATAAAGGATGTGGGTGACATTTTTTATAAAATTTAATTTTACTTTTGTCTCTGTAGTTTTGAAGGGGGTTTTGTTTTAAAAGGCTAACTGTTATAATAAACCCAGGCTTTTACATCTAAAAGCTTGTTTGTTCATCAGTAGGAAGCTCACTATAGGCAAAATGTTTGGGCAGATCCTCAACAGAGCTGTGGCCAGCTCTGAGTCTCATCACACTATTAGATAGTAACTGTGAAGGAAGTTTGACTGATCTGTGTTTTGAATGGGACTTTAATGAATCTAGATGATAGCAGGATTTTTTGGTGCTAGCTATTACATGTAAAACTTTCTGTATAGTTTCTGATCTTTAGAATTGTATTGCTGGTCTATTTATTATTATTTAAAGTATTCTGTGTACAGTAATTTTAAATCAGAGTTTGATTAGTCTTGGAACAGGGTAAGAAGTAGAACTTCCTGCTCTTAAGGCCTCATCCCAAGATATTTTGACAGGAAAAAAGAATTAAATGCGTAAGCAGTCAAAAGAGGCAGAGTGGGATAATGTGGACCCATATTGCTTACAAAGAGAAAGGAAGAAAGCAAGTTACCTTTCCAGAGGTCAGTAGTAGAAGAAAGGAGGAGAACCTTGTGAGAACAGAACTGTAAAAAGTATGTTTTAAACTTCTGCAAGTTTATCCGTCACAAAATCTACCTAAAGGTCAAGATGGATATGGACAGAAGCAAGTATTAGTCGGGAATTTTGTGAGAATTACAGTTGAGGACAGAATAAAAGGTTTAAATTGAGTGGTCACTTAAGTGATTTAGATTACATTTATTTTACATGCAAATTAAATAAATATGTAAAGTTTACACAGTTTCTAAGGGGAAACTTGAGTGGTGAAATTATACTTGTCATTGTGGGAGTTTGAAAAGAGAGGATTGTGTGAAAGAGTCCTGTTGCCTAGTTATCTCCTCAGTTAAGTGCCTGACATTAGGAACAAACTTGCAATGAAACCTGTTGAAAATTAAACAAGCATGCTGGGAATCAAGTAACACTTGCTGTAAACTTTTAAAGAGTAGTATTTCAGATCACATATTATTGCAGAGTTGCTGGTATTTCTAAGATCCAGGTTACTTTCCTATGAGAGGTGTAACAAATGCAAATGTCAACAGACTGTCATCTTTAAAGCAAAACCGTTGGTTTAGGTATTTCTGCACAGACACACCTCCATGGATTTATGGTTCACATTCCTAGTCTAGTCCAAATACCAGTTTAAAACTGCTATTCACATAGGAAATTCTTAAGGAAAGTATGTTCTTTCCAACTCTGCGATCCAGGGATGGACAGAAGGCTGGGCATTTAAGAAATATTCAAGGTTGCAAATTCCAGTAACAGCTGGGCTTTTTCCAGAATGGTGTAGTCAAGAGAAATGGCTTTAAAAAAATAATGAAGAGTAGCAGTCTGTCTGCTTTTGTAGAAGAGCTAAAACACCATGGAAAGCTGTAAGGTGTGATGCCTTGCAAAATTTATCCTGGTAAACAAGGACATCTTGTGCAAAAAAATCAGCTCCCTCTGTATACAGTACAGAGACATCTCAGACATTCTTCTCACTGTTCCCTGGTAACTCTAATGGTATGAAATATCTTTTTTTTTTTTTTTTTTTTTTTTTTTCTGCAAGTACAGGAATTTACAAAATGAGCAATCATCTGAGTAAAAATTATGTCAAACGATACAGTAGTGAGTGGAAATAATTTTGGAAGGCCATGACATTTATACTTTTCAAAGCTGACTAATGCTTTTCCAAGTTAAAAAAACCCCAACCAACCAACCCCAAAAAACCTAACAACAACAAAAAACAAATAAACCAAACCAAACAAAAAACCAACCACAAACAAAAAAGCAAAACCAAAACAAAAAATCCCAACCAAATTCAAACTGAATTGTACAAAATTTTGTTCCAAATTGCATTTATATTACAAGAAGTGTGATTCTGATCAGCTTTATTACTTAAGTCCTGACATACTCAAATGTTTACAAACTCATCAGACCTCTCCACAGAGCAAGATTCAGAGAACTTCTTGATTTATAGTTTAGATTATTTTCTATCCAGAAGGGACCAATTTGATTGCATAATCCAGTGTTCTTCTTTGACCATTAAGTAGTGTAGTGAACACTGTATCATGTGATGTTCTAGAATACCTGCAGAATACTACTTTGATACTAACATTCCTGGAGTTGGAGAGAAACTAATTTTCCTACTACAATGTTTTTGCCTTGTTTAAGGTTGGAAATTTTGTGGCTTCAGCTACTTAGCATTGGAACTCAAGTGTAATGCTGCTGTTCTGGAGGCTTTTAGGATAATTTCTCTCTTAGTGTGTTTTTGACGAAGGACCATAGGAGAGCCATTTCTTGTAGCATACTGCAGTATTAGTCTATTCTGATTTTATGATGTATTGTTTTACATGTACAAATTTTAAAATGACAGCTGTGTTGAGCCAGAAGCTCTCTTGGACAGAGATTTTAAGCTAAGAGAGTAGTTATAATTTCAATGTTTATGAAATTCTGGTACTCCCTTGCACTTGAAAACTTCATGTTGTTCTTCAGAGGACCCTTCCAGGCAGATTTTGTCATTTTAAGTAGGAATAGATGTTTCTGTCCATGTCAAAATTGGGTGATTCTATAAACTTTGTGCTTTAAGTTTGTTTTTCATGATGTGGATATTTTTTGAAGTTGTTATTGGCAAATGGAAGGTAATGTAGTAGAGCGTAACCTGCATTAGAAGTATAGATTTGTGGGAATCTGGATTTGAAATATTACTCAACTGAGCTTTGTTCCAGTTCCTTAGTTTCACAAGATTCTTGTGGCTTTCATTATAGTCATTAATTTGAAATTCCTTTCTAGTGTAGGTTTTACCTCCTAAAAACTTTACCATGCTAATGTTGCCTGAAAACTGAATGTTTGTTTAGTTAATGTGTTAAATCCAGTGCAACCAGATTAATTAAATGATCAAGTTCATATCGTCAAATGCATTCTCACTGGAATTCACAAAAACTAGGGAGGGATTTGAGATTAGAAGACCTGGTAGATTCATGTGTTATGGAGACTGTTCCCCCAGCTAGGTCTTTCATGTTTCCATGGCTTAGTAGAATGTGGTAGAAGATGAGCTTTTTTAAGGGTAGATTTAGTTTAGATGTAAGGAAGAAATTCTCCATGGTGAGGGTGATGGGACACTGGCCCAGGGTGCCCAGAGCAGCTGTGGCTGCCCCCTCCCTGGAAGGGTTCAAGGCCAGGCTGGACGGGGCTGGGAGCAACCTGGGCTGGGGGAAGGGGGCCCTGCCCGTGGCAGGGGGGGTGGAACTAGATGGGCTTTAAGGTCCCTTTCGACCCAACCCATTCTGTGATCCTACGAGTTCTACAAGTTTTGAATGATTGTGTGCATATTATCTTGTCCTAAGACACCTTTCATGTTATGGACTGTTTAACAGTTATAGTTTATGTGGGGAGGGTTTAGTTTGGATAGTATTGAAGATTTTCTGAAAGTCTTGGAATTTGGCTTTAATAGCTGTGGTGTTTTTAAAGGCACTTGTGGATGGTTTCCTCAGAAATTAGGTAAATATTACCAATAGCATTAAATTACTAGAAGTATGTTTATAAGCATGCCATAGGCAAAATCTCAAAGTTAATTTGCATCTGCAAGCATGTCTGGCTTCCCAAATCAGGTAATCCTCTGAAGAACAGCTGAAATGAAAGTGGTTTAGTCCCTTACTCTTCAGTTGTCTGTATTCTTGCATTTTTGTGCCTCATTTGTTTAAAATTACCTTAATTAATTGTGAAACACTTAGAGAATCGAGCATTTTGGCTTGTTTCACTTGCTATTGCATTATTTTGACAAAAGATGATTTGTACTCACAGGGCCCCGATCCTGACATTAGTGACATAACACAAATTAAGGGCAAATTTTACTTCTTAATTCAATGATGTGGAATTGTGTTCTGTGTTCCCATCAGTACCATACAGGTTTACTAATTATGCAGGAAGATTTATTGGAAATGAATAAGCTGACCTGTACTGATTTAGAAATGAAGCAAAATACTCAAAACCAGAAAATTTGTTTGAATTATCAGCTTAGGGTTTGTTTTGTTGTGTTTTCGTTGGTTTGGGTTTTTTTGTTGTTGGTTTGGTTTGGTTTTTAAAAAATATATTAATATTCTGTTAAAGTGTGGAACTGGAGCTTTACCATTACAAATAGATTTAGGATTCTTTTCCTCTGATGCCATCATTTTAAGGATCAGAGTTCCAGAATGCTTGCAGCAGTCTTGTATTTTTCTGTCTGTTCGTGACAAACCAGCTACTGTACATTCATATAGAGCAGTACAGTCCTTGCCACTGGCAGTCTCTCTGTGACAGAGAGCCTGTAGGCTGACATAAAGTGCAGCCTGTTGTGAACTGCAAAGTGGGAGTCTGCCAAAAACTCAGCAGACAGAACTAATTGGGGAGAAAAAGGATTTTTGTGCCCTCAGCTCTCCCTCTTCAATTTTTTTTACAAGACGGATATTGTTAAAGTAACTTGTTTATGTAAGATTTGTCTGCCTCTATTTTCTCATTGCATGAATCATTTTTTAACTTCAAGTCTTGCACCGCAGGTCACTGAGCACTTCCACATGGCGGCTGGCACCAGACCAAACTCAAGACACGCAACTCATCACAGTTGATGAAAAATTGGTAAGGGTTTTCTACTGCGTACTGCTATGATACAGCCTTCAGGGTTATTTCTGCACAATAGGCCTTCAGTATGGTATTCTGTGTTCTTCTAGGAAAGCTGTATAAATGTGAGCTACAAAGCAAACATCCCTCATACATTTTTAAAAGGGGAACATTAGTAAAACATAAGTATGTGAAGGAAATATGTCATTCAAATTGTTAAGCAATATAAGATTATGACCACCTTGTTTGTTGTTATTATGTTATGGCCAAGGACCAGTACGAGCTGTAATTTATAAGTAGTTTGTTCTTTTTGAAATCTGGGTATATTTTCTCTGTAGTGAAATTACACAGAATTTGCCAGCTTCCTGAAATTATCTTCATTAGGACCCATATTACTAAAGAAGCTGTGTAAAGAAACATCATGCAAGATTATTGTTTCTGTGTTCATATACTCTGACTTTTGAATATGCATGAAGGTTAGATTACAACTAGGAACAAATGCATAACATTCTTCTGCTAATCAGTAGCAGATCAGAAATTTGGCAATCTTTTCTTGTAAGTTCTTCCATAATGTGTGGTCTGTTACTCTAGATGCAACCTGACACTTATGTTTACATTATTCAATAGTACAATTTTTGTAAGACTTCTGGGAGGAATGCGTCACAGCAGAAGCATGCTTTTCATTGGTATTCATATCACTTTTGAATCTTCAGGAAAAAAAATTCCCATCATATGTACCAGGCAATTCATATTGTGTATACTTTCTTGAATCCCTGAAGCTATATTAACTACTTAAGAAATATTTGGAAATTTTATTTATAAACTGAACGTTTGTAATGATAATTACAAGTTGAAGTTTAACAGGTTATTGGGAAAAAAACACACCTTCTTTAACAACTCTGTTGGACTTTTTTTTTCCTCATGCTTTGTAATGTAGATGTAGTAATAATAATTACAGGTAAAAAAATAAATTATTTTGTAAACTATTTTATTAATTTTAAAAGTAATAGTATAATTTTAAGTTTAAAAGCAAGGGAAAAAATTAATATTGTAGTCTAGCAAACGTGATTATCTTGCTAATCTGGTTACATAACTTGGGATTCAGGAGATTTCATTTAATTTAGAAAACTTCATGAGTCACTCTGTGAATAAGATCCACCAAGTCAGTAAAAGTACATTTCCCCAAACGCATTATGAATTGCATTTGATTATTGTAGCGCTGTTCTTTAACATTAAAAAAAAAGTCTAAATGTAGAATTTTTCTATTTCCTGAATTTACGGTATCGCATTTCTCTCTTCTGAGCTTGGGTGATAGATACATAATTGTGAGAGAGACTAGAGTACAAAGACAGACCCACAAAATAGTCTTCTATCTTCTCCTTTGTATTTAAATGTGCATTATCCTGAGTTAGGGTTATACATTACCCTGTCTAACCATGAGAGTTTATACTTCCAATTAAGTTACAGTGATACTAATATGAAATAAAACTATTCAGTTCTCTTAGTGTTAATTAATTGTAAGTGAAGTGGTTATTTCTAATATTATTATATTTTATCATCAAATTGAAGACTCTCATATCATAGTTGCTGGAGGTTTTTTTGAGATCTTATAGTAGCAGCCATTGAATAATTCAATTTTGATACAGTGTGTCTGAATTATTTTCTTACTCTCAGATCTTTCAAGTATTAGGTTAAATGTCAGACTGAATAGTATTTTCCCACAATTTTGTGCATGTAGGTATACATTCTAGATGCACAAATCTTTTTTTTTTGGTCCAGATTATTGTAAGACCTGAAACAAAATGGTAGAAAACTAGAATATTATTTTTAAATTTTAGTTCATAGATTTAATTAAGTTTTTGGAAAAGTTTCCATAATGCCATAAAATACCCAATATTTGGTCTATTAGTGGGCAAAAATTTATATTCCATTAGGAAAGAAAATCTTCATAAATAGTTTTGATGTGGTTTTCAACTCTTTCAGGATTAGAAGTTCTCTAGACACCTGTTAAACCTCACGGTAAAATAGAGTACTGTATTAACGTATTTTAGGCTGTTGCAGTGTATTTCATAATTTTGAGTAGGATTAATTGCAACCCATTAAAACTAATTTAACACATTACATAAATTTTCTGTTTTTTAAATAATGTTGCTAAGCATAATAAAACTGTTTTTTCCATGCAAGTTGTAATTAATTAAACTGTATTCCAGAAGTTGGTGCTTAACTTTTTCAACTAAAAGACTGCCCTGCTCTTGTGCTACCGCCACATATATGCATCTTATTGTTCGAAATCATTAAATGCTATTTTGATGGATTTGTTGGCTTTGTCATACTTTTTTTTTTTAAGCCTGACATTGCCTTATGGGTGGTTTCTACATGCATATCAGAAAGAAGAATCAAGAACAGATGGAAAATGGGATGTGGTTATCCTTGTTTATCTTACTCCTCTTGTAACTTATTTTGAAACTGAACTCTTCTGTGAGTTGATGTTTACAAGGCTAGTAGATTAACACTGTGGTTATTGAAAACTTTCTACTGCATACTGTAGTTGAATTAATCTGTCAATTTCCAGTGCTTTTATAGACCTCATATTCCTGTGTGTACATGCATATGCTAGAATGGGATCAACAGGTATTCCTTTGAATTAACTAGAGTCCCATTTGGTTCTGTAAATACTAAAGTATACCTTGTCATCAGAAACACAAATTAAGTTGAAGGGGTAAGAACATCCTGACATTGAATCATTAAGCAGTAGTTGGTCACCTTTTTACTGCAGCTGAGCATGTGTTAAATACAACAGAAAAATTAGTTGTAACGAAATAGAAGAAAATGCAATAGTTTAGACCACTTTCATTTTTCATATTAAGGCGAAACTTTTAAATATAAAAGGAGTTAAATGCTCAGCTTGTATAGAACACATCCAAGAAATTGTGTCTTTGTCTTAATTACTAGCTGTTTTCAGTGAATATTGAATAAAATAACTTTTAATGAACAGTTAAATCCAAAGAAAATAACATACAAAGTGAACAAAGCTAAACATAAATATAGTTCTTGCATCACATTTTGAATCTCTGGCCACCAGTTAGGTCATTCCAAGAGTCTGGACAAATAGCTGTGTGAAAAGTAGTCTCTCAAGACCCTGCTTGCATTAGGAAATTTGGGCTATAGAGGACAAAGGCTGTCAGCAGCAGATCTCCCTCATGTAATGTTCCAAATGATTTAACTGTTTGTGCATACAGAATAACATAGCTTCCATCATCATTATAAAGATCTTCAGTGGCTTTGCCTAAAATGGGCATTTAAACTGTTTTAAAATACTGCGATTTGTATCAGTCATCACTAGTTGGGTACATCAGTACTGTTGTAGCTAAACGTTGTGCAGTTCAGCATGTGTGCTTTAAGCAGGTTTTGCAGTCAGTGCTGGTAACGCTGCATTGTGGGTGTCTAGCCCAGAGTTTGTACAGGCTAGGCATTGTTTTGAAAGTTGCTGTCTACAGTTGGAAAGTATCCCTAAATATTTGTCAGTAAAAGGACTTGCAGTGGTTAAATGATATCAATATTGCAAGAACGTTTCAAAATTAGAAGAACTGCCAGAATATGTCCTTTGCATTTCTAAAGCAGAATATTCCACTAATAATGTATATGCTGTAGCTCAAAGCAAAAATTATTGCAAGAGCAGTCACAGGATTTAGTCACTGGGGAGATGCTAGAAACATTGTGGAACTGTGGTTAAGGATCAGCTATTAGTTGCAGCCATCTCACAGATGTTTATATTCTATATCAGGCTAAGAAGAAATAGGATGAGTTACTACACAGAGTTAAGCATTCAAGAGCAATGCTATCAAGTGCAATCGAAATGGTACTAAAGTAGGTTTTTCAGCATTGTGAGAACATGTAGGGATGAACTCTATTATAAGCACGACAGGCTAACTACAGTGATGCTAGTGACATTTCAGCACCGGTCCTGAAATTGTTTTGTCTATAATGGTAATTAAGCTTTTTTTCAGAAGTGGTTCAGAAGTCTCAGTACTGAACCTCAGCAGAAGGCCAGTTCCCTTGTGATTGTAAACAAGCTCTACATAACTCACTAAAGATAACTTGCATACACCAGATTGGGCCCAGAAGATCTGAACTGCTTTTTGAGGATGAGCAGTTCCTACTTTTCAGATGATTTTCAAGAGGAGCTGTAAATGCAGAATCCTAGGCCAAAGCAGATTAATAAGTGGACTTAGTGGATGAGGGAAAGGATGTGACTGTTGTTTCCCTGGACTTTAGTAAAGCCTTTGACACTGTTTCCCACAGCATTCTCCTGGAGAAACTGGCGGCTCATGTCTTGGACAGGTGCACACTTTGCTGGGTGAAAGACTGTCTGCATGGCCAGGCCCAAAGATTTGTGGTGAATGGAATTAAATCCAGTTGGCAACTGGTCACAAGTGGTGTTCTTCAGGGCTCAGTACTGGGGTCAGTTCTGTTTAATGTCTTTATCAGTGATCTGGACAAAGGAGTTGAGTGTGGACCCTCAGTAAAGTTGCAGAGGACACCAAGTTGGGTGGGAGTGTTGATTTGCTTGAGGGTAGAAAGGCTTTACAGAGAGAGCCTTATTATTCTACAACTGCTTGAAAGGAGGTTGTATCAAGGTGGGTGTTGGTCCCTTCTCCCAAGTAGAAAATGATAGGACAAGAGGAAATGGGTTGGATATTAGATAAAATTTCTTCACTGAAAGGGTTGTCAAGCATTGGAACAGGCTGCCCAGGGAACTGGTTGAGTCACCGTCCCTGGAGGGATTTAGAAGACCTGTAGATGTGGTGCTTAGTGACAAGATTTAGTGGCAGTGTTGAGTTTATGGTTGAAATCAATGATCTTAAGGGTCTTTTCCAATCTAAATGATTCTGTGATTCTAATAACTATTGTGAAATTGGTATCAGGAGTCTTAGCAGCTTCCTCTTGGCTCTCCAGAGGGTAGCAGTTAGTATCTATTGTGTTTACTACTGGATAATTCAGGAGTAGCAGTGTACTAA